ATGTCTTTTTGTTTGTATGTTTTTCCTCATTGTATGTGTATGTTTATAAGTACGTACACATATGTAGTCCATCTGTAATAGTTACAAACATTTTTTTTGAGTTTGTTTGTTTGTTTGTGTGTGTGTGTGTGTGTAGATAAGTTTGTTCGTGCCTTGTACCTCATAACGTCATCTAGTATGCATCCATAATTTCACAGGTGCATTTATTTCACAAAATTTTCACAAAACGACTTACAATGTTTTTTTTTGAAAGAATTCGTAAAAATTGAATAAAAAAACTTTGTAGTACTGGTAGTTGTGGTAGTTGTGGATGACGCACCCCGCCACCACATTCCACTCCGGCTACAACTTTCACTTCTTATATCTCTGATGACATGATGTGCTTTAACGCGGGTCACCGTCATCATCAGCATTTTGTTTGCTGTCGTCATCATGTTTATCATCATCGTTATCGTTATTGTCATCATCATCCTTGTCTCAATCAATCGTCACCATCATCAACCTTTATCGCCTCTGCTATCAGCTACATAGCGTGTTTGCATCAACTGACGCCACAACACGCACGTGCATTTGTAGAAGCATAACTGCACAACAACGCACATCACAACACATCAACACACGCACACGCCAGCACACACGCGCGTAATATGGATAGCGATCTGGAACTAATTTCAGGCCCAAAATCCTTTCCATATCGCTTTATCGAAGGATTTTCCCGATGTCACGTGATTTGTTTGTTTACGTTGGTCTTTCGAGGCTTCGTCATTATTATTACGTCATGTCATCAGTGCGTTTAATACATCACGATCACAACAACATCTTGCGGATAATTATTTTTCAGGATAGTGTTTGTTGTTTTATCATTTTTTTTTATTGTTTACTTTTTCCTTCTTTTAAAATGCAAAATTTTAAACACTCACCGTTGGCTTTGAAGTTTATTTGTTAAGAATTTAAAAACTGTCTGCCTGATGAATGGCGTTTGTGTTTTTAACCATTCATTTGATGTTTCGCCAGCAGCAGCTGTGTGGTCGTTTTTCTCAATGCGAGTTTCTCCTGTCGAATGATTTATACCAGTTGATCGGTCTTTTTATGATTTTTCCTCCATTCACCTAAGAACGCTCGCTTGTTCGTAGCTGCGTGTTCCTGCCTTCATGTGACGTCTGCTTGCGTGCCATCCACGTTTTCAGCTGCGTTATGTGAGAGTGCTTGTTCGTGCGGGTCTGTCATACGTCATATTTTTTTGTTCACAATATTTTTACTTTTACTAACATTTAAGTTTGAAATTTTAGTTTGTCGAGATCATGCTGTGAAGTGAACTTACAAGATAGAT